TAGCCCTAAGAATCAAGCCCACATACTGTCTAGTGTCTATATGGCAACCCAATCGTCGCCTACGGAAAAGGCCATTCAAATGACGATTGGCACCATGAATCGATCCTATTCCAACCAATTTGCATTATGCAACATTTCGCTTTTATCGTTGTTCCATTGCGCCTGTGAATATATAAACCGAGTGTACGTATATGATCGGTCGATTATTTTGTTATTTACTGTTTATAGGAAACAGAAAACGAAAAAGAAGATCCCAGGAATCAAATATACGGCATCGGAATTGCATAGAAAGAAGGTTTTACTGGAAATCGAAGGATTGGATACCAACCAGTAAGTTGGCTTATCATATTTGAATGGACCCCGTATCTCTCTTTTTCATCGTTTTACCTTAAATTACATGAATAGAATGAAGTTGTGTGTCTGGAATTGGCGCATTCAGATCCGGGTTTGAGTTCACGCGAATATCCATTTACAATAACGTAATAGCTGACTTATCATATTCGACTGGTCTGTGTATCTATATTTTTCAGCGTATTTACGTTAAATCACATGAACGGAATAAAGTTGTGTGTCTGGAATTTACGAATTCAGATTCGGGATTGAGTTCAAGTTTGAATAGCCTTTTATAATAACGTAATAGTCATACACGGCGTCAGAGTTCGTTATTCTTTTTTAATTATAATGCCAATTTAGCTCCTAAGGTTGGTTCGTACTTCTGAATTTTCATTTTGTGCTAACAGCTACAATCACATTGACAAGATTCTTTGAAATTTTACGTGCTAATTACTTATTAATGTATTATTTTGGTATTAAATTTTTGCGACGCACGTCAATGTCTTGAATAGGCATGGCGGGACAATGCTCTCAATTAGTATCTGCTCAGTTCAGTAGGCAATTTGTAAGCCAAATTGCTCCTCATTCGCACGAACGGTCATCAAGTATTTTCTGTGCTTGTATGTACAGACTACAAATGAATATCCGTTGGAGACATTGCACAATGAACTGAAATAGGTTACAGTGTCCAATGTCGCGTGGTGATTTGAAAATTCTGCACTTAACTTATAATGGCCTATTATGGCCCAATATTAGATCTTGGCACGAATTTGAATATATGGGAGAGGGCTACTGGGTTAAGAAAAACCGGATTATCCCGGTTGGACATAGCCAATTCAAGCTCTCATTGGAGCAAAAATTTAACATGTGATAATATTTTATCTTCGATTTTATATAATATATTTTCTAAATATACATCAGTCGAATTTCACAAGTCTCTGCATAATTTTAACATTTCACTTTCTTTTCGAAATTATTAGTCTCGGTATATCATTTCAATTCATATTATTTCATTTTAATCTCACTGGACTTCACATTTTATGATGCTCAATCGATGAAGGACATTATTTTTTTCCAATATCGGTCATCGCATATTAGTTATATTACCAAATATCCAATATGCATTTAACTTACCTATTATTATTATTAGACTTGGAAATTCATTCCTTCTGTCGTCATTTTTTCAATTATACTATTTCGTTAAGAATTGCGGTAATGGGACATGCGAGATCAATCTGACCTAAGTGGCTCACCTATGCTATTGTGCAAGATTGCACACAAAGATTAGATATTAAATTTGCTAGCGATATCGAGATTTGGCCTCGACTTGTCTTAAGGTTAATCAGTACTAACTGCCTCGCCCACGATACGGCTGAATCTTAAGATGTCTGCCCCTTCTAAGTGAGGAAATGTGTGTGTACTGATGACCTGTTGGGGGCGAAAGGGTGCTAGTTAGCATCTCAAAGCGGGACCGGAATAATTATTTTAATCTCTCTTTTCATCAGATTCCGTAACGTTATGTTTGAAATCGGACCATCAGAAGGCGACCTCGGCAAATTTGACGTTTCTGCCAAATTCATGGGAGTCAATATGGAGAAAGTGTCCGTCGTATTCCAGGTAAGATTTTTGTTCTTCAATAAATAACAAATTTATTTTCATTTTCAATTACTTTACTGAAAATGGTGGTATACTCGCTTTCGTTTTTCATGGTAGTCGTGTTGAGTATGTTTAGGTCTCGCATTGATCGATGGTAGTCGTATGCTCAACGATGTTCAATATTTAGAATGTTTATGTCTCATAAATCGATGGCTGGTTCTGAATTTACTGGATAAGTACCTTTTAGCTCTTAGCGCTTCTGTTACAAATATCTTCTAAGCAACTTTTTCGTACATTTTATGGAATGGTATTGTGTTCTAAGTGAATATGCATAAAATGATAACTTTTATCATATTATAGGATCTCCTACAGTTACAATACGAAGGTGTAGCTGTTATGAAGATGTTTGAAGGACGAGCCAAAATAAACGTCAATCTGCTTATTTTCCTCTTGAACAAAAAATTCTACGGCAAATGAGATGATGGATATAGTATTACAAAACATACTCAGTAGCAGCATTCATAAATCGATTTGAAGAAACCATCGCAAATCTATTTTTTGTGTAATTTGCTCGACAAATCGGAAACAATGCCCAAAGCATTACTACCAAAGGTCCGAAATTATCATGCCAAATATGGAGCGGTTTTAAGTACCTAACCGTGTAATAAAATTTCATGGCCGATAAAATTAAATTTCGACTTAATGAACCTAATTACGAAGCCCAAATAGAAGCTTACAGATTATTAGATTTTCCAATTTAGCAAAAGCATTACATAAATAACTTAATCGCAATCATATTGTCAAATTCATAACATCCTTTTTTGCACGCTAAGAAGCCGGCACAATGCAAAATATCAAATTTGTTCGGAAATATGTTCTTCTCTTGTAGAAAAGCATATGCTGTATTCTTAACACGTCGTCTTGTATATTAGTTGTATTATACAAATTTAGAAGTTTGTTTTTGTTATTTTGACATGATTTTCGTTCGTCAAATATAAATTTCTTACTTTCTAATACAAACCACACTCACTCACAGAGAAAAATAACTCATTTACGTCCATGACATTCCAATTTTTTCATTTTTACTTGAGTTGAGACGATATCTATTCCTTGAGATCCATTCCGGTATTTTACCATTCCTCCGTCAAATATTAACTGTTATAATATTGTAAACTAAGACCAAGCATGGGCCTCTCGTTATTGTCTTGTAATAGATCTTGATATGACATCTGGATATTCTGCATACTGTAGTATTTAACCGTACTTGATATTTTTATCTTTATTCGAATTCACGTAATCGGTGTTGTGACGTCATATTACTATATTATTTTATATTACTTTCTGACGACCAACACAAATCCTCGTCTAGGGATGTGCAAAAATTAAGTTTAGGAAGAAACCGAAATTAAGAAGGTTCCTTGTGAGACTTTTTTTTCACGTTTCGAAACTTATATGACAACATTTCTCATGTGTAACACGATTTTGTTGTCAATTCAACCCTTTTAGTCGAAATTGAAATTTGGAAGGTGAATTTAAACTATTTACATATGGACATCCCTAGACTGTTAGCATAATTTATCCATCTGCGATATGCCATTTGCTATTGTTTTAGGTATGTAGTATTAATATGTTCCGTTGCCTTATCTTAAGTTAAAAATAGATTGGCAATATACCAATTTGTGCCCGTTAATTTGATTAAATATATAAATGATCATCGAATTTATTCCACATTTCTGAAATATATAAATGCACAAACACTTGAAGTTAACTACTAATATGCATAGATCGGAGATTTCGACTCAGCCGAACTCGTTTTTTTCTGCTACTGCATTCCGCAATTTAGCTAATTTCTTTGCATTCCAGACCCTTTTGGACCTGCTTGTATCAGGCCATTAATCTGGGTAGTTGATTTGGGTTTTTCGTTGGGCATCACCAATTTGCTTTTTATTTGTATATTGTTCTTGTTTTATTTCTAAATAACTTTTTGTGAACGGGGAAATGGGAAGTAAATGAATGCTTTCAAGCATGATTTGGTTGGTTCTCATTTCTTTGTCGATAAGAATACCCGTTCATGTTTGCTACCTTTTGATTAGGTAGGCCGAATAATTGCATGTTTTATTATTTTCGTACGTTCGGCATGTGCCCTACGTCAATTTGCTTTGTATATACTATCCGGAGAAAAAGTTATGACAAAGTATATTGGTGTTCAATATCTGTCGTTGTGGAAATATTGGCGGAGTATCCAAGATACCTTTCCTGTTCCGATAGACTGGTCAAATTCAGCAACTTACAGGCTCGTTCATGGGACATATGTTTCTGTTCCATCCCATCTCATAGCAATTTATGCCCGTCCCATCTTATTGGAATACAATTCAATGAAAATTGTTAAATTCAGGTTCAGCGTCTACTAAATAGGACTACATGTACGATGAGATATGTAAAACAACAAAATCTATAACTCTAAAATCATAACTAATATACATGTGTCCATCAGCACAGCACCTTCGCCTCCAAGTATATTGTCAATGCTGAATATATTTTTCTCTTTATAACTAACGTGAGATCTATGCTCAAATATATGGACACGGAGTCCATAACGAAATGTTTTACCACCATTTCCCCAAAATCACACAGTATTTCGTGCCTATGGGTAACACAAATGTGTGCTGTCCCCATCCGCATTCCCATGGGCAAGTCTTGCAATTTACCTGTCTTTCAGCGCGTTCCACACCGGCCACGTGACATTAGCCAGCAAGATATAGCCGAATTTGTAGCAGATGAGCTAGCTCCTAACTGAAAGCACTCGTAGAGCCATCTCAAGGGACCGCTATTGCATTGCAGCCTACGCTTAATTCAATAGGAAATTGGATTTGATATCTCCCCTTTCGGCTAGGTACAATGCTTCAGGTTTGAATGTGGGTTTGATGGCAGGGTCATTGGGTCGCTCATTTGCTTTCAGTCAAAAAAGTTTTGGGTGATTTGTTTTTAAACATGGAAACGGTTCCGCAAATAATGAAATCTCGAAAATTATAGATTAATAACAGTCTCCGCATCTGCTATGAACCGAGGGTTATCTGGACTATGACAAGTTCACAACTGCCCTATTACACAGCTGTGTATCGCACAAATATATTTTATTGTGCGTCGTCAAATATTGTGGGAATATACCAAGGAACAAAAAATAACCTTGAAGCTACACTGAACATAAATGGAAAACTCTGATTCACTCGGTCCGCGTTGTGAAGCTTGTGACTGTTGCAGATTCTCCGTCGGTCGCGTAAGGAGAATTCGTGATTCCTTCCATGTGAGATCGTCCCTTCTTTTTCATTCGCTTGTTGGCGTGACATAACAGTATTCCAAGTACTATTGCGGCGGTCACTGGGAAAGTAGTTTGACGTTATAATTTAACGCTACTTTAGTCATCGAAACTACCAATGATTGCAATGTGTCGGACCATTCTCTTAGTATACCACGTTGAACATAATTTTTTTTTGTACTGCTGGGAGGAACAACTCCGATGTGTCGAAAGAATCCCGTAATATAGAGATAATTTGATTTGTATCATTCCCCCATCAACGTTTGCAAATAAATCCGATTTGGAATTGCAAAATTTTCTGGTCTAATGACATCTATTTAATAGTGATCAGATAAAAAAAATGCCCACATATATGGAATGGAGGCCAAAACATATTAGCATCAAATTTACAGTACCGGTAATCTGACCACAAAATCGCAGAACTGCGCATGTTGGGCATTTTTTTTTACTTTTGACGACTTCATCGCACACAAAAACGAATTCCATAGAGCCCACAGAAATTTTTAAAATAAATGAAAGTTGAAGCGAAAAATACAATCCACAACCGCTGAAAATTTCAAAGCAATTAGTCCAATACTTATGAAAAAAAGGGGTTTTCCACAACAAGAAGAAAGAATGAATAATAATAATAACCTTAGGAATAACAAGAGAGCGATGCTCAAATATATGGACACGGAGGGCACAACAAAATATTTTATCATCAATTCCCCGAAAATCATATGCGGTAACTTACCTGTAGCTGTAGACCTGATATTCGATCGCGGAACCGCTCGAAATAAGTTAAAAACAGTGTTCCCATGAGTAAAAAGTAATACAGCGAAAATTTGGATGAAGTATCAGATCTCAGCGAAAAGTACAATCTTTAACCACTGAAAATTTCGAAGTAATTGGGCCAGTAGTTGAAGAGAAAGGGGATTTTTTCATATCGATGCGAAGAAGAATACCAACAAGAACAACAAATACCAAAATGATACATAGGTCCACTACGTGTCCAATAACAAAACGATTCATATATATGTACATTTCGTGTCCAAAAAACTCACCTGACGCCGCTGTGGTTGCAGTTAAAATCACCGTCAGTAATATGTAGGTATTGGTGTTTGGATCGCACACTAAAAAGAAATGAATATCCATCAGTGACTAAAAATATATGTTATTATGAAACTACATGTGATACCGATTTTCTTCTTACATTAAAATACCCAATTGCAATACCCTATTTTCTGCACTCAGACTCACGTTATGACCACAGAGCATATGAAATAGGTTGCGTAGCATGAGCCTAAGTTTTTACCTGGACAATAGCACGACTTGGTAGTTGTGACTGCCTCTGATTCGCCTGGGGGAAGTACAGTTGGAGATCCGGGTGGCGCAACAAAAAAGTTAATCACTGGAACATTAGATGTTTCTGCAACGTTCCCAGAACTGTCCACAGCCTTTACAGCAATCGCGAGTCTGATGAAATGCAAGTGTTTTAGTGTTGGTAGAAAGAGAATTTATCAGAAAAGGGGGAAACGATTTAACCTTTTTTATTTAAATAAAATGAAAACAATATGCGATTGGGGCATTTTTCCCAGCAATGCTTGCGATAGTCATATTGTTAAGTGGTAATGTGAGAAATGGATTGCACAAGACTTTTAACCGGCACGAAATGTACATATGGATCGTTTATATTGTTATCTTTAACGTTTTTTTTGTCGTTGTTGAGAAAAAATCGCCTTTCGTGGTGCTTCGTGACCGCCGATCGCTTCAGCAAAATTGGTGCTTATCAGGCCTACCATATCGGTACTGATGCGCGTACAATATTTGAGAATTACTCCCTTGTCTTTTTTGAATATTTGCCCAGGAAAATACTCCGAAAACTAACTAATTATAAAAAAATGTATCACAGCCCAGGACTAAGTAGAAAATATTTTTAAGAAAGTGAACCTGATTCAATTGCCCGTCGTGTAGATATTAATTAAATGACAATTTGGCGCAATGAAAACCAAATGTAGTACATGCACTGGCGCTACGATTGTAATCGTTTACCTTAATGTGGTCTGGCTGTTACTTGCAATCGGAGTTTGGATTATCATCGTTTCAGAAGAGCCAGCATTAGACGGTGCGTTCAAATCGCCTTCAATGATATGCGATTCGGTAACCATGACATTATCGTAGAAATTGCTCACCAGCAAAGAGGGATCATCATAGGTGTAACTGATATCGTAGCGCGATGCTGCCAAAACAATGTATAAATAATTTTAACTTTATTTCAGGAAATATTAAAATGGAAAATAACATTAACTTGTCCTCAAGAAAAAGCATTCTTATTTTGTTATCACCCACACTGACTAGATTTGTAAATTTGATTATTATGTCACGATTGTTTTCTCGTAATTGCTCCTTTCTTTTACCTGTCTGCGTGCTCTTAAATCGCTCTTGTCTTTCGAAGTGTCTCGCACTAAGCTCTGTCTGATATAACATTGCGGAATGTATAGTATGCAATATTTTCGGCTCAAGCAACCCGTACTGCTCGAACTTAAATCTCCGAGGCTGAAATCATTCTTTTACTCTCTCTCGTGTTCGTGTGACTTGCTACTTGTCTGTCATGTAGTCTTAATTTAGAAGTGCTTGACTTTTATAAAAAAGTAATTTTGTAATGGAACGTCCAAAAATAACTTAAGGCTACACTGTGTTTTACTGATGTCTTCTCGTGTAAAAACTAATATTTCTGTCCACTGGTCATTTGGTAATACCCAAGACGTCACAAGCATAGTAGCCTATTTAAAGAGCACTTGTGTCTAATACAGAAATATAAGCCAAATCATATCTAAACTAGACATATATATATACCTGTTCCCGCATCATAGTCATTGCCTGGAGCTGTAAACGTTAATATCACCCCTGCAAATGGATCACTCAAATTTTTTTGCTGTATCTTTAAATCAACAATTTTCCCTGGTGGAATTGTGTCTTCAGCCGTACTGGGGCTGTAAAAGGTATGGATCTAATTTAAGAAAATACTCTTTCCCTTTACCCGACTTTTTTATTGTAATTGGTCCTGTCAACAAATGAATTACTAAAAACATTACTAAGACAGATTGCGGAGCGTTCACACACAATAACAAAACACTTATTTATCAATAACTCGATACAGAAAATAGTCATATGACAGGATTGCATTGAAAAAATATGGCTAAAATAAAAAAAAATGGGCAATTCACCTCGACCAATGGCGGAAAAAAAAAAACAAGATGGCGGCGATTCGAATAATTTACTATTCGAAGTGCCCAGCCCTACCTGTCAATTTACAAATTAATCCGAAATTTTAATATTAAGTGTAGTTCAAACATTTAGTACCCAGTATAGCTAAATCCACCGGTCGAAACTACTCTGGTAAAGTCACCGACGTCTTCAGCCTGGCTTTCTCCGCCTCCTTCCGAGTTGCCTTCAGGTCCCGTTACTCCATGTGGGTTTACTGATACCGAACCTAAATAAAACAATATGATTTTTAATAAATTTAATTATAATAAGGTGTATTTCATTTTTTCAGAATTATCTCAAGCAAGTTTCACTATTATTCCTAATAGTTGAATTCCTCACAATATTATGTCTCTACGTCAGGAAAGTACCTAGCAGCAAGGATGCCAAATAAAGAGTGCACCAAATATATGCGCTATTACTAAATGAGTTACAATAAATAAATTTATAAAAACAAATTAATCGCACCATCGACAGAAATGACTCCAGGTTTATAATTTGCTCTTGATGTACTTTTGCTTCTCGCAACTGATGATTGGTTGTGATATCTTACTTCAACCTTTACAAACATATTGTCATTAAAGTGTTTTTTATGCAGAAAAGCATTTGATAAATGGTAATCAACACGTGAAGGTGTAAAAATTAACGTTTTGATGGACATTGATATTCTTAACTAGAAATTGGTAGAGAGAGAGTCAAAATCATGGAATGATTTATTATATCGAAAAGGTCTTCAAAACTTATAACGAAAAGCAGAAAATTGTTGCATTATACCAAAAATGACTATTCGTTTAGTAGAGTGGTAACCGGCTTCCTCCACCATCAATTTCATACATCTGGGAACGAATAACTGGCTAATAATAATCCAATACCCGACATGGACCTGTAACCGGACGAGAGGCCGTGGTTCGCCATATGATTAAGACGTTCTCATAATCTTTGCTTTCCGCGAGATAAATATGTAAAACGATCCCATCTCAAATGATACTGTCAATTTTGAGGTAATTAATTTAGTAATGTACATTATAAAAACAAGCAATATCACGTATTTAAGGTCGTGCTGTGAATTAGAATTTAGACTGAACATTAGCAAGTTCTCTTAATTAAGAAGATTGAACTTTAAAGAAGCCAAATATCAATCAATCAATAAATAGTTTACTGAAGTTTAAACAAACGTAGGTTACGTAAGTGAATACTGTTTAAACAATTAATTTAATCAGGTTAACAAATCAAAGTCCATTTCATTACAGTAGACAGGGCGGCTTGAAAAATCCCTCTTTTCCTATATGTTACAATTTCATCTCCACAATAAAAATACTGAATAATAAATAAACCTTTGTGTATGTCAAAATGATGAAACTAACAAAGAAAAATATCGGTAAGGGTTGCGCTATTTTTACGTACCTTGACAGCGTAATTTCCTCTACCGGAATATTCAGTAAAATATTTCGAATAAATTCCATCATTAGAATTAATATCGGCTCCTGTGAAATGCAAACCAACGTTAATCATTCCATCTTTCAGATGTATATATTTCGGATTTTATAATGTTGGACTGTTCGGACAAACTCGTTTTTGTTTGAACAAACTCGTTTTGCTCGTTTCGGCCAAGTAGGCTTAATACTTGGGTCACTGTACTATTTATAATTCAGGCTCAGATGGTGTGATTTCGACCTTTCGCCACAAACAAATCCAAATGTGACTCAAGTCTGACTGTAGTCGGGCCATGATCTAAATCGCTCTCTAATCTATGAGATTAAGATATGTCTTACCCGCGCCATTATCATATAAGTTCATAACAACCGGCCCTCCAGATGGCCTGCTGACAGTTGCTTCGACAATAGCGCCGAGAATCGGTTTGTATCCTTGAGTCACCTTTAATAGAGCGTTAAAATGTTATGTTAAATTATTTTTTAAATCCGTTAACTAGGATTATTAGTGAATATGAAAGTATGAAAGAAAGAGACTACTTTGTTTATATTGAAATAAAAATAGATATAAAATGTATGGTGGAGCTTATGTAATAAGTCATGGAATTGGCATTACATTGAAAACGAGAAGGGAAAAGAATTTTCCCATACTTGTTGATTGGAATTAAATAACTCGAAAAAAAATGTAGCTTCATTTGCGATCATTGATAATGGAGATTTCAAATTATTATCCCTGAAAAATTGAATATGGGACAAAAAAGGAATTTACAAAAAGTAATACTGTTTGTTACAAAATGCTTACTTACTTTGGCGTAGACGACAGTAGAAGAACCACCTGTTACATCTGTATTACTAATGCCAGAAGAGACCACAATGGGATCGACGCTTTCACCAGACGACGATGAGGTCACAGATGACGTCATATCTTGTGGCTCATTTGTTGACGGCTTGACAGAGTAAGCCCATTTTCCGGCCTATTATAAAAAAACGTATATATTTTTTAAATGTTGATTTTCTCGCTCGTAGACTGTTTCTAAAGGCAAACAGTATTTCCAAATGTCTCAAATTAAAATTACGAGCTTGGAATATCTTTAGCGCATATGATCATGTGACTTTGCTTCAATTATTTTTTGATTGAAGCAACTATTGTACACAATAAATAAATATTCGTTATGTGATTATCCTGCAAACTGAGACATGAGCTTTTGTTTGTTGGAATAAGAGTGGTTAACATGTCAGCTACTTATGGCACCAATAACATAGCCGTCGCAAATTAGGAGTGGCACGCTTAGCAAACATATGTTGGAATCTGCTATCGTTGCATATTTCTGCTCTGTCTCGACAAATACTTCGTGAATACCTGTCTTGCAAATGCTATTTTAAAACCAGAAATGCTTCTTACGTGAGACCTTTGCACGGTGTAAAAGACTAATTTAAGGAAAAACTGGTATAATAATCTTATGAAGTGACAATCACTTCGAAATTTGTTTTTAAATTTCATATTTTTCAATTACATTTAATATTCGATGATAAAGGGGCTGTATTTTTTATTTGTAAGACTCCATGATTTCAATATAACGTTACTAATGCTTAAAATAACTTTTAATTCGATTCTCTGTGGATTGTTCACATTGTTTGACTTTGTTACGGAAGAAGGGATAGTTCATTTGGTCATATAACCCAAACATTCGGGAAAAGTTGTTGAAAGCCCACTCGTGAGAACTGTACGTTACAGCAACATTTAATTTCCCCCTTTTCGCTAAATAACTACGAATTGCGTTCAAGTTGGTAGAACCATGTTATTTAGCTAATTACGAAAATACTTTTCTGTTTGATTATCTCAAAATATTACGTATGACGATATACTTTACAAAGATTTAAATATCTTATGACGATCATATTGTAAGGCCGTCATATTGCGACGTCTTTCGCGACATCTGGGCGCTAAGTAATCACACTTTTCGGCTACGATTCATCGCGGACGCGCTCCAACAAATCTCGCAAGATTCAGAAACCTAAAAATCGGCACGCGTGCTTTTTCTATCCAATACGTTTTCCCTGATTAATAAGACTATTCATATAAAACGTTATGCATATCTCTTTGTTTAAAACAGTCAAGAACAGTATAATATTCCAGTAAGATATGAACTTGTTGCGACCCTACAGGTGGTCACGAGACGCGCAAAAAAGCATGGGCCGCAGAGATCTTTGACAGTATTTTTAATAGGCACAGTAAGATTTTGCGCCTGGTGCTGAGTTACCGACGACTTTGTCATTGTAATGTATTTCGTTTGAGGCGTCGATCAACTGCAGAGGGATTAATATGATAAACCCGGTGAAAAGGAAAAAGCTTGATTAAAATTGTGATTCTACTTTACAGTCCAGATTTAAAAAAGAATCACTGTCACAATTTTGGATATCTCTTATTAACGAATACCCGTCGCTAAGTAATCGAGCAATCAAACTGTTATCCGTATTTTCAACCAGTTACGTATTCGTTAGGCAAAAAAACATCCTCATCACTATATTTAATTAAAACGAAGCAACGAAATCGGCTGAACGCCGCTGCAGAGCTACGTGTTGCAGAAACTTCTTTGAGACCTCATTTGCAATCTTATATTGGGAACGAAACAGCAGCAAAATTTTCACTATAGTTAATTGTGTTCAATCTTAGTCTACCATAGCATAGCACAAGGTCGTTATGTAAGGGTAAAAACTGATTAAGTACCAAGTACTGATTACGAAGTAGGTTAGTTGTACCTCTGCATTTCCCAGTATGCTGAATTTGATAGAAAGAAATTCAGGAGATAAGATGTATTCTGACCCACTGTTGCAAATACTTTCATCAGAAATATTAGCATTCGTGTAAACGCAACCCGAAGGGCTGTTTATATGTACTATGGGTGGAGACAGAGAATTTTTGGACCAAGTGAATACAAAACTAGTGTCAAGTCCGATGCTATGGTCAATGAATACTTCAGATGTGAAATCTCGTCCTTGAGGTAGGTAGAACGATTTACTTTGAATCTGAAAAGTAAATAAAAATTTGGCAGATTATTTCGTTTATGGAAACAAAAATAAAACTAACACAAAAACAAATATGGAAATATCATATTTTTTCGTTTTTTATGTATCAGTTTTTAACTTATTTTTTCTCCATTGTTTAATCATATATTATCATTAGGGTAATAATTATGGGTACCTCATTTTTACGACTATTGACTAAATGATAAAGGTACAAAATTATTATTTCCCCTGCGTAGTGTACCTGATGGGAGTTGCTTTCCTTGTCGCCGAAGGATGCAACTTCTTTTAATGCTTGTTGCATGTCTTCTTCGTTTTCTGTGTAATACCAAGATCCGCCACTCTCAATACTTAACGTGGATAAAATTTGTCGTGCGTAAATTTTTATGTATATGGCACTGACCACGATGCCCTGAAAATAAAATAATTGTTTTAAATTTTTAGATAAATTCTTCAACTTTTATATCAAAAGTTTAACAATAATTTGATTTTAGATTACTATTGTCGTTTATCAGCAAATACAATTAAAAACAAATTAATTTTACGTAATCCTTAATGATTTATTGTAAGATACCTTAGTCAAGACGTCATCATATACTTCGTCAACTGCAAAACCCCAACCATCCGTGATAACAATAATGTGCCCACCTGCTGGATTGCTCAATTTTTCAAGAACCTGTGTAGAATAGAAATTTATGTTCCAGAAGTTTATGTTCGTGTTTTTCTATTATATTTTCTAAGTATGAATGTTAGAAATTCGTATTGTATGCTATTTTTTTACTTACAACCAGCTATGGCTAAAATCTTTCGTTAGCTCAGGAAGCCATATATTTCCCACAGTTGGGGTCAATATACACATACAGGACAATCCACCGGTCAGCCCACTTTGTACTTTTATTTATACTTTTACGAGATTTTATAATTTACGACTGATTGTAATAAATACGCAATTAAAATTATCAAAACCAACCTTAGCATGACATAATCTCAGAGGTGGCCTTACTAGCCGCAATAAATTAGCATTATGATTTAGAAAATTCTGAAATAAATTTTAGTTATGTTAACTATGCTTAGATAAGCTTATACATCGTAGGGAACTTCAATATATAACTTTATCCTAGTGTGTTTACCAAACATGGCGTTACAGTGTGAAGATTTACGATTTAATTCTTGTAAGCGCCAGCTTATATTTCGTATAACCATCTAGTCGCGTTGGTTAATCGCGCAACACTAAAGTTGACACCGTAAAATTTTGGATTATTTTAGATTATGGGAATATTTTAAAATTATAAAACACAGCACAAAAAGAAGCGATGAACTATATGGCATAACTCATAGCATATATATAAATTCGTAAAAAGGCAAATGTATGGACTATTTCCAGAATCAAAGATCAGATATCTCAATAAAAAAGCGGTAATTTGTAGCCTTGGGACTTAGTGGTGTTGCGTGAAATGGGTAATGGATATGTCAGTTGTAGGCTTGTAGCAATACTAATTTGTGGTAAACTTAACAATAAAAATATTCAATAAATTAATCAATTATTTCATGAAATCACCCACTTCTATGCCTTTCCTAATTCCACATCCGATGCAAGTTTGACCGCCTGTCGTTGTCGGGAGCAATGACGTCATAGTTTCCCGAGCTTCCGACGAATTCATAACTTTCAATTCGCTCAGTGTGGTTGCATCCGTTCCAAATTCTACGATCCCAACGTAGCTACCGCGCGGAACTGCCACAGTGATAAAATTATACGCTGCAGTTCTCATCTCATCCTGTTTGTACTGAAATGGAAATATCGGTTCATACCGCATCATTATATTATTCTGATAGCCTAACACAAAAAGTACAATATGTCGAGGCGAGCCGTCAATATTTTGATCGATCGATCAAATCATAATAATTACATATAATTTTTCCATATAAAGCATTCAGACTCGCAGGAAAAGAGGCAAAAATAAAAATGAATTCCGAACGTACCAATTACAGGTCATTTACAGTAGTTTAGAAATCCGTCTTATCAGTGGCCGTACATTTGAACCCATACATTTGCATCCGTTTATCCGCGGGTTCAATTTATATGCGAGTGCTAAAATCCATGGGTTAGGGTTAGTATGGGGTCAAATATCCGTAAAAAAAATTTCATAGGTGCAATGGTATGCAGATGCAATTGTCGTGGGTTCAAATGTACGTGGGTTCAAATGTAATGGAACCGTCTTATTAATTGATAGACAGATTACTTTTGAAAAACAAAATCATTCAGTACAAGTTACGTTATAAGAGTGGAGTGAAAAGTACTATTGCTTATTTGGTAATTTTATGTCACGGTGTATGCCACAAAAGCTCTGCTTCGTGTATATCGGTTAGGTTACTACCGACTTTGATTACTGTACATACCCCTTCCATACTTCTCGAAGAATCTAACACCAATACAAATCTCTGTTCTTGAGGTCTGACTATTTTGAATATTGGTCTAGTGTCAGCAACATGAATAGAAGGCTTATTATTAACATCCATGAAGTCTTCAGATTCCATGATTACAGTCCACGTACTTTTCATGTTGCATAAGCGGTTCTGGTCATTCGGCGCATACGGATTGTGCAAATTATTAGGATTGGCATTTGAACCATCTTCACAAAACGTTGTTACCTGTATGTTGCAAGGCAAACTGTCAGAATAGGTCACTTAAATTGCGTCTGATGGCGTATAAATAGGTATGACATCAGCGGCGGGTAGATGCTAATGATATCAGTTATGCGCTTGTTACACAACGGCATAGCACAAAACGTGTGTGAACTGTTGTACATGAGTTTAGATTATGGTTGCCATTTTTCAATATTCTCTCCTGGTATGCCCGAGATTTTAGTGCAAAAACGCAAATATATGAAACTTTTTTTGACGCTTCACACAATAAGATTCATGTATAATAATTCATATATGTATATTCTAATCTATTTGTTGGTGATCAATGGTTCAACTAGCAGACGACGTGTGGAAATACTGCATCTCATATCTGGTAACGGTAATCTAGATTTCTACACAACGTCTTTGGCTAACCTCTTTCATATACTGATAACACATCATTGAAGAGTTGGGATGGTAAAACTGATCTTCGTATGGAAAAAACAGGCAATTGTCCGGATATGTGTTTGTTACAGGGTCTATATCCGCGAGGGTGCATTTCCTTTCAACATTTATTGAATTTAGGTCTCGAACTTCCCCGTTCATTGACAATGGACATCTGGTAATAACATCAATAATAATTTCAAACCATTGTTGACAATTGAAAGTGGAAGTAGGACTAGAAATAACCTAAACACTGTGAGTTTATAAAACTGATACAAAGCAAGACTATAAGTTTGGCATGATATAGGTCAGGGTCGTCCAAACCGTGGCCCGCGGGCCATATGTGGCCCGCAGGAACATTTCGATTGGCCCGCGCTGTATTTTTCAAAATAGAGTGAAAAAAAATTGAAGTAAAGCTATTTTTCGAGTGATGTAGTATACAGAGATGTGATATAAACGATTTGTTTATTTTCCTGAAATGCACTCTGCCAGCCCTTTCAACTGGCCATTAGTGCCATTTTGAATCGAAAGCAACTGGGAGGATATATCGATAAATAAAGATGCCATAGCCACTTACACACTTGGTCTTACACACTTGGTCTTTTACTACTCTATATAACGTTATCGCAAAACAATCGAAGCCATTCTTAGATTGAGAATGTATATTATGTGTTATATTATTATGAGCACCTACATCAAGGTTACTGCTCAGTTGGCGATCTTCTTGAGGGGAGTTAATAATGATTTTGAAGTTACCGCAGAGCTCGTGGTCATTGTCCCTATTAAGGGTGCGATTAGAGGTATTGGTCTGTTGGGAGCTGTGATAAAAAAGACAAAGTGTCTTGGCATGTCTTTGGCGAAACTTTCGGAAATAATTACTGATGGCGCCCCATCAACAAAACAACAGTTTTATTTAACAAAAGTTTTGTTTACCTGGTCGCTTCGGGTCCATTACTTCCATCTTTATTCGGATCCCAATAAAACGGAGAATTGCTCGAGGTTTCATCAAACACTCCCCACCTATAATGCGCCCATTCGTGCACAACTACCTTCCCTGATATACATAAACAATTTATTTGTGAGTCAACAGAGTTGTATAAACTTACTTTTTACTAATGTTGGTGTTGAAAGATATATGTTTTCGAAGAACAATAAAACCAAATTGCTTACAAATAATAGCACATGATGAAAAATATACACGTTTGCATGAAGCATTTTTAGTTTCATACTGTACCTCATCAGCATAAGGACCATGTACTAATTTTACCTTTTTTTCCATAATCATCGATAATTTCCTCATTTTGCAAATATTCAGGGGTGAAATGAGTGTAAATTCCAGGCTCTCCGCATCCACCATATTGCAATGTGTATGGGGAGTCTCCATAGCTCGGGTTTTCTGGGGCTATGATGACATCCGCCTATTAAATATCATAAAAACTAACATAAAAAATCAACGAAGACAATAATAAATAAAAATTGTTCATAGAAATGTTTATGGGAATTAATAAAATTGTTACTTCGTCATATTGTGATCGGTTAAAAAAGTTGTTTTTTTTCAATATGATTGATTGATATTGAAATAATATTAATTGATAAGACTGATCTTAACATTTCTATCAGAATCGTGAGACGAGCACGGCTGCTACCCGTAAGACATCAACTTTAATAATAAGCAGTTGATGACAAGGAGGAAACAGTATATTTATATTAACGTTTGAAATTAAAACACTATAAAAAAAATAGTTATGCCACGACAATTGAATGAGCGATTTCGCCAAAGTGGTGGCAGTTTTATACGATCTGTGTGGTTTTTAGTAAATTTGGTGATATTTTCGTGATCGGAACTGTGTATCCGATATAATTCACATATTATACTAGTTTACGAAGTTTGTTTTACAGTGGTAATCTTCCTCTGGACGTCATATTATTGCGCTAAAGCTGATTCACATATAGATTGCATACATACAAGTTACAACTATACTTTTCAAGTATTACACGTAGTTGAGAACAAGTTGCATTGCTTGAGCAATACATATACCAGTTTACTTTCTGCTAAATGCATCTCAATTCAAACTATGTTTCAAATTTTTACCTGGTCGTAATTTTCTTTACCCAATACAGGATCTCTGTCAATCTTATTCCAGGTTCTTGGTAATAGAATTGTGATTTCTTTAAAGTACGCCAAATTTTTCGTTGCCACGTATAAATCTCGAGACGCTTCTGTCCATGTCGTCTGAACATATTAATTTTCAATATATTTATAGCAATGGTATATATATTAATGAGTATGCATCGTTAGTTCGCTTGCTTTTTGGTCAGGTCGTGATCGAACCAAGAAATGTATTTAAATTTAAAAAAGTATTATAATGAAATTTAGGCTAAATTGATAAAACAATTACTCAAACTTGATTCACCTTGATGGCTTCGATTAGATTATCGCTTTCTTCTATTTTTGAGTTAATTGCAATTACAACTCCCGTGTAACCACCATCATCAGTGATTTTTACGTCTGATGTAGATAACGAGAAGCAGTAGGGAATACAAAAAAGCAATAGAAAATTCTCTACTTTCAGTATTTCAAAAGACATGGTTATTATTTTCTGTTGAAACACAAACTAATTTTGAAGAATGTTCGTTAATGATATTTGGACAGTTTAAAGCCCGTTTCCTGGTTTGGGTGGGTTCGTGTTTTTCAAAAAAATGAAGTTCTTTACACTAACTTGTGGCATCGAAAATTGCAAAACAATACCCAAAAAGGTCTTTTCAATACACGGATCCATGAACAATTACAAATACTCTAGCCATAGTATCGCCTTTTACATAGTTCACAAACTTTACATTTAAATTGTTGCAATTTAAATAAAAGTATAGATAGAAAAAAAAAGTTTTTAATTATAAAGTAGCAACCTACTAGTTCTAGAATTACCAAGAAAATACGGTACTCCCGAAGTATGTGACCAAGATGGCGACCACCGGAACGTAGTATGTGTACCAAGGTTAGGGTTAGGCCATAATTTTAAGTACAAATACTACGGGAGTCACTTGGCTAGTCTCCGAAATCGCAATAGAACTTAAATAAGGAAGCTGGAATGAAATTATGGCTTAACCCCAACCTGATACACATACTACGTTCCGGCGTCCGTCATCTTGGTTCACATACTTTGGGAGTACCGAAAATACTTGAACCCATATTACAAAATGCCAAACTACTTTTGATTTTTGTGAAACAGTCATGCTCTCCAAACTGAAATGTCCTCTGACGAAAAAAATGACGCAATTTTGTTCGAGAGCTTGGAGCAAATTACAAAAAGTCGTTAGCATACCTCGACATGAATTTACTAAAGTCAAGTATATGCCGTGAATAAAATATGCATAGACTGCTTCTTTCTTGTGTGACGCGTGTTATGTCCATAAGAATGACTAGTATTAATAGATTAAAATGTTACATAATTTTTATCCAGTTGATGAAAGATAAACTATTTCAATATTTGCTGTAGTCATCAACGCGATACCAAACTTCTAACGATGATTGTTGAATAATAGGGCGGATCGTATCTTGACAATTTTGTTATCTTATCGAAAAACGCACAGTGACCTATCATGTTTACTCGGACGCGACATATTGCAATTATTATTATTTTTTTATTAATTTATTGAAAACAAAATTTGAACGAGCAAACTTCTAAGTGGTACAAGGTCCAATTGTACATTATGACATATCTGAACATAATCGCACTCAAGATAAAGTTCGAATGAGCCTCTCTTCATTATTTATTTTTAATGCAAACATGATAAACAGTGCGTTCATGCTTAAACTGAGAAACAAAATTAACGCAATGGCAGGAGAAAAATCTATTGGTTTTGATTATAGACACAAATAGTTTATATAAACAAATTAAAGACATCTAACTTCGCTGTTTTAAGACGATTCCCGATATTGACTGAATGAAAACTCCTGATCTAAAATTGTAGTACAAAATCGAAATAAAACTACTAGTGGAATATGCAAAAAATACTTGGTTTCCTCACCGCAGTAGCAAGACACTTCTCGGAAAGGTTTTAGTATAGTATATGGGATAATTATCCTGATTACTACTCTAATACATTGTTTCAGTTTCATCAACTTTGCGCCCACAGATTAAAGAATTCCTCCACTAACACTTGCAACCGCGGAAATTTACACCCATTGTTGTTTGCATTCATGGGCCTTCACGCCTCATGATATTTTTACCCTTGGATATTTGTAGACGCAGACATTGCACCCATGGATATTTGCAGGAGATTTCTTGAAGTTGTCGCGTGCACATCAGAATATGAGGCGTATCAATATGATTTTAAAAGGAAATTGTGAAAAGGGAAAGGGCATCAGAAATGCCAAGCCTCATGAGTAATCACATCAAATGTTTTCAGCAAAATGGGGGCCAATACCACAAAAGCTCGCTTTGTTGTTTCCAACTACTTTTAGATGCAAGTTGGCAAATATTGCGTGTACGGTAAATCCCAGTGAAACTAAATCCCATGAAATTATATACACAAGCCTATGCGTTTAGTTACTCCAAGTCTAAGAATGCTGCGAAAATTGCTATTACAGTCTGGTGTTCTGTGGGTTATATATCATTATGCTAAGAGGGATGGAGCAGTGATAACTTTATCACTTAGCAAGAAATCGGTATTGTCATTAAAACAAATAAATTGAAGAATTGCATTCATCAAACATATCACATTCTGAAAGATAAAATTTTTGACAACATGCAAACTTGCCTCATGCCCTATATCATAAACCAATTGTCGAATTGGATTACTATCTTATTTGGCCTATGGATTGTTTTGTTAAATTGTTTTTGTTGGTGGCGGTCTTCTTGTTCTTCAACTTTTAGTCATTAATGTCGCTTTTCTCCTCAGCTATAGGCCTACTATAAACCAATTGTTTTAAAATTTTCAGTAGTTAAAATTGTTGTTGTCGCTATGCCACCATCTATAGCAGAGGGGGGCAAGGTTTTTGAACTAGAGGCCAAAAATTTTTACCACCAAGAGTAGACTGTCGGGCCATGTAAGTGTGACGTGAAAACTCAATGAGCAATATTTACAGTGTTACAAAGTAAAGGTGGAAAACAATATGCCTTGTGCCAAAAGTAAATTCAACCGCAATCTCAACAAATTCCCTGAGCTATTTTTAGCTAAAACATCAAAATTTGATTTCAGTTTGGTTGTGGTAGCATCAGCCGTGTCAGATTAAATTACCCAACGAACTGTATTTGGCCCGCGGACGGTACTTTGTCCATGTCTGATCTATAGTGTCCGTTTTTATTGTACGTATATATATTTTTATGTTGATATATATACTATTGTGTATATTATATTACTACTGTGGACCCCTTATTCGATGCTGTGTTAAATTCCTAATTTGTATTATATATGAGACTTCGAGCACCCATATTGTCTTGCTTTCTTCCTCGGCCATTGGGAGATCGGCTGCATTTCGATTGTGTCTGATGTTTCTGCTATATAAATTGACGTGTTGCTTTTTTCAATAAATAATCAATCCGGTATCTTAGGCCTTCTGATCTAATAAACACACAAACAGTGACAAAAAAAACTTATCTGTAACAATGGCGACCACGCCAGTATTTGGTTAAAACCTATCTGTGACAGCTAGAAGATTAACACTTTTATTAATTTTAAAAAGTTTTGTGGGCATCATGAGATTTGTTTTCACTCCGACGTTATGTCTGGTGACGTCAACAAAATTAAAAATTACTTGTAGCAGTCTCGTCCCTAGCGAGAATCGGAAGTTTTTTTTATTAGATACGGTAGACCAGGGCTACTCAACTGGGGGACCGCGGTCCGAATCCGAACCTATCGAGTATTGGATTTGGACCGCACCTAATTATTTAATTTGGATCATTAGCCCCACTTTTTGAATTTCCTATTATAAAATGACTTTCATAGTTTTGAATATATACGAAAAGAACTATAACACCATAATAAACACTTTTAATTTGCTGCTAATCATTAGTCGGTCGAGGAAGTGCTCGTTTAAGGATGCCAAAATATCATTCCTGGAAAGACCGGACCCAAATAATTTTGAAGTTTTGTTTGCGGACCTTCGAGAGAAATAGTTGAGTAGCCCTGCGGTAGACTACGGTATGGGTACTGTAAAAGATTTGACAATACGTCAGTTTTAACTTGCATCATTTGGTATTTCAATTCACGATGAGACTGGAAGCATGAATCACTATCGCCACAAGATCTGGAAAAGCTAGGACAGTCCGGGTGCCGATACACTGTTACTGGTACAGGTTAGCTATTTTACAGTTCCAACCTCGTTCAGGATATAATTTTCGGGGAATTGTTGATAAAAACTTACGTGTTGGCCTTAGCGTACATATATCTGAGCATTTCTCTCTTGTTATGTTGTTGTTAGAATTCTTGTTGTTGTGAACCATCGCTTTTCCCTTCCAACTACTGGACCAATTGCTTTGAAATTTTCAGTGGTTAAAGATTGTTGTTGCTGGCAGGTTATTACTTTTATTTGCTCTTAAATTTCCTGTGGATCCTATGAGATTTGATATTTCATCCAATATTTTATTCACGGGAACATTTTTATTCCGCCAAACCTGACGGCCTAAGTTTCGGACTGTTATTAAGAAGTTCCTCGATTAATCCCGGGAATTCTAAATTATCGCCACGCTGCTTCGACGAGTTGGCACCTTTTGTCTTGTATCCAGTGTAATCTATTGCGCTAGAAGTTGTTTATCGTGTTTAATATCGGGTTTACTATTTGCGGTCAGGATGAACGATTCGGAATGAAATTATTAATTGGGTTTAAAATCAAGGGTTTAAACTGGGGTTGTAATATAATGTAGGGATACAAATTAGGGTTGTATTATAGTCCAAATAGAATGATAACTGCTGTTCTTTACATTTAGTCACATGAGTCAAGTTGTATTTACTTTGGATTATAATTTGTTGAATTGAGTTGCCTGGAGATCCTAAACATTCGGTATGTAAATATTGTTTTATCTTGTATGATTTATTCTGTATTTTAGTATTGTAAATGCTATTGTTTCTGTTGATTGTTATTAAAGATATTCACCGATTTCAAGTTGAATTATATAGGGGCAGAATTTGAAAGGCACAGAAGAATCTGGGGGCACTTTAACCGCTGTTTACAGACTTTAATTGCTTGAAAGCACGGACTAGTTGTAACAATTAACCGATATAAGTTTGGGGTCGAGACTGGATTATTAGGACGCGTTTTTGAAGTCTCCAATTTCTTAATGTGCGTGAGAAGTAACCAGGCTACATAGAATCGAGCGCAACAATACGTTTTTTTCGCGAGGCCCTAACCCCCCTTTGGTATTTTTTAAAATATGAATATATATTCTAGTTTCTGCTTTGGATAAGCAACAACGTCGTTTTACGTTTAGTGCATATCGTTTTCGGGGTAAAAACTATCTTTTTCTGTATTTTATCACTTTAATGAAGAATTGCCAAAGAAAAATGTGCTCTAAAATATAGCAGAGAATGATATTCATTCTTCGGTTGACAAAAACCATCAATAATAACAAATGCCGAATTGGCGAAAGAAACGAATGTATACGTGAATTGTCGATTGTGATCCTGCCTTTGCACGATCGGATTCATTTCAAGGTAATATTTTGTTTTGGGACGAGTTTCACACTGCTGTAAGTGAAATGAATGAAAGCAGGTCGCAAATTGGCTGTCGGGTGTCAGATTGTCTGCAATCTTTGCCGGTAATAACGCATTGGAGGAATCTAAGACTATTTAATCAAGTCAAAAAATATGATAATACCATCCAGCAGTTTATTATGGTCCTACTATTTTTTTATACATATTATACTGCGTAAACCGTAGTAACTTGTGCTATTTAGAGTCTAGACCATTCGTGCTACAGTTTCACTAGCAATGAGACACGGATGTCTGAATGATATTATATGTATTATATCCTTCAACAATATTACTAGTTTTTCAGATTTTTACACCAAAACTTTGCATTATTTTTGACACATTTATCATCATTTTTCATTTTAACCCATTATTAAAAGAACAATTCTTTGCACTTGAATGGCAGTACACATTCCGTGTAGCTAACCTGGAAATCAAATATGCTCTCAAGTGGCGGCTTAATATGCACTCTGTGAAAAGAACATTTGAGTGTAAAATATCAGGTATCATGATATATTGACTTTGACGTCGGATAGAATTCTAGATTGAACCGTGTACGTTCAAGCAGTCGACACAAGCTTAAAAGTAACTTAAAAATCTCGGTCCTTCCAAACTCACTACTTTGTGGCTGTATTTAGAGATTTATTCGAATCCAACATTTGTAATACATTGTGTAAATGCATTTTATTGCTTTTCAGACAATTATTCTACGTCCCCGCTGTAGGACAAATCACAATGTCTTGTATCAACGGTGTGACCCGCACGGCGCAAGTTCTCTTAGCAGCTGCTTGGTTCCCTCAGAATGAAACTGCGACGGCTTTTGTACTTCCCGTGTTTGTTAAGACTTTGGCTGGCATTATCAGCTCACTGATATACTCATACGCCATCCCAAAGGTCGTTTCTGCTACTGAAAAAGGAACTGAGTTTTTTTTTTCGGTAACAATCTTGTTTACAGCTACACACGGATTTTTTAGTGTCGCCGTTTTTCTCGCGCTTGTGCTTGTATTTTACTGTGACAATAACCCACCATCTCCACCTAGTCGATCCCAGAAAAAGATATTTTTTTCTAATGCAAACTCACTCAATACTATGACATACGGAAGCCGATTGGTAGCAGTATGGAATGCTATCTACTCGAAGGCATTCTTTTTTCTCGGTATTGCCATGTTTTTTGGTGGTGTTGCACAGTCATACGCAGTGTTCCTAATGCCATCTTTTTTTCTATCATCATTTCCTGAACTGGACAATCAGATACCAGCATCGCCGAATTAACCATTAAACAATGTAAGCGCGTGCTTAGGGCACCCAGCAAAGAGGGGCACCACAGAAATTTTATAGCAAAATTCTGTATAGTTTGTCGGTGTTTATTAAAATATTACGAGTTCACCAGACGACTTAAAGTTCAAAATGTTCTCTTCTCTTTCGTCTTCAAGTATAATAGTAATCTTCTTTATTAAAAAAAATACTGAAACTTATTTATTGGACACGAAATGGGCCTATGAGTCGTTTTCTTAAATTGTTGTTCTATTTTTCTTCCTAGAATTCTCCTTGTTGCTGCATTTTTGTTAAAAAAAAAAGTTCTCTTCTTTTCAACTATTGGACCAATGAATTAATCCGCGATCGCATTTCAACGGTCTAGTGGTCAGCGAAGTCGGGAGGTATTTGATAAAGTATACCAGGGTGGCCCAAAGCCGTCATGCTGATACTTTCCGTGCGGCCCACAGAACAATTTTAGCTACATTTGTATCTGATAGCCTAGCGTGTTTGAGTTTTTTAGCTATTCCAACTGGGGTTGGGATCTCAATATTTAAACCCTTTTACTAAGGTTTTGTGCCTTTTTTTAGTAAAAACACTGCCCTGTTTTCAAGCGTGGGCCAAGTGACAGTAGTGACGAAATACAGAGCCGACTTCAGGCCGCGCAATCCAGTATTTAGTTAGCTTGTTCCGAAATACCAACTTAGACGGACTTGGTTGTTATTTGACGATGGCACTAAGCTTTCTCACGCTGTAAGTATTTAAAATACTCAAATTTATAAAACAATTCGTAATAAAATGAGTGTCACAGGAAAGGTGAAATAAGGATAACAAGGCGGAAACGTATTTCCTTGCCCACCACGCAGTGTCTGGTTTGCTTTCAAGTGATATCCGTCACGAAAGAATATAATTTAAAGAGACATTAAACGCGAGATGCGAAAAATACAACGGTAATTCTCGGGAATTAATTTTAAAATAACCGTAGGCTTTATATATATTCTTTAACCCCCCCTTCAAAAGTTTTTGCGATCCCTCAACCTAGCAACCTTGAACCACCCTGAGGTAGACTACTAGGTAGCGGTAAAATTTCGAATTCCATATGTGACTTGTATGCTTTGGTATTTCGATTCACGTTGAGACTGGACGCATGAATCTCCATTGTCACACTCCTTCAGGATTAGAGCTCAACCGATATATCGGCCCGATATTGCGTGTTTGCCGATATATATATATCGGTATATATAACAGTCAAAAAACCTAAAAATGCTCGTGAAAGTTGTTTCATTTACTGTTGGTTGTGATTATTTTTAATGGATAATTCTGTGGCATATTATTTTCATAATTTTAATTACACATGAGGGGGCACCAAAGTCTTCAGTGCTTAGGGCACCGAAGGGGCATTATCCGCTCCTGGATACCAGGCTACATTTCTTCCATACGATCTTCAGTTACTTCACTTATAGTGATTGCAACCGGTCGAATCTTGGATAAAGCGGGATTTAAAATCAATTAAATTACTCAGTAAAAAAAATATAAAAATAAATTAAAAAATGAATAAAATCTTTTGCCACATCAAATTAATGATTTTATAAGGATTGCCTAATTGGATACCGAACTAGTCAACAAGAGTTATATACTGTGAATAAAAAAATATTCTTCAAAAGATATCGTCAAGCTGATTATAATTGGAGTCAGAATTGCCTAGTTGGATGCATGAAGAGATGGGCTAGACCTGCTTCACTCACCAAATAGAAGCCAAAACTGGCCACATCAACGTCCAAATCATTTAAAATACTATTAACCAATAAAAGTAACGGTACGTATAATTAAAATTAATTAGGGCGGTATGACACATAGGTAGGAAAATTGGTTACGGGAATACATAGGTTATTAAAGGTTTAAGTAAGGTTTCTGAAGTCATGGATTAATTAATAGGGAACTACCCTACACTTGGAGTGGAAGTTGTTGTTCATGTCACGCTTCTGTTTTGGTGTGAATCCCTAGTATTTCGACCGTGAATTTTATTTTTTAAACTAAAAAAATGGAAATTGCAACTTAGTCTCATTGAAGAAGCAAGCATTGACATATCGATCGAGGTTTAATGAAAAAAGAAATATTTGATTGGAAAGGTAGCTTGAGAGAGTTGGCTTGATGTATAAAATATATAAGATGCAACATTTTATAATACTGTATAAAATATTTTAAGAACACTTTAGCAAGATTGTCGTGATCTGTTTTTCCATTTGTGTGGGGGATTAGGTATACAAGCGCTGGTTACAGCATTTGTTATTGAACCTTTCTCCAGATTTTCGTCGCCCTTGTACGTTTTTTTGTTCGTGTTTTGTGTAATAGACGGAATATTAAAATAAAATTGTATTGAATAAAAATATAGCTAAGTCACTTTCATCATTTTAACCAGGATTTTCATGGACGTCGATCGATTAAATCAGAACCGATAGAAGTGCAAAACGTAACTAAGTATAACACATAATGAAATGATATACGCAGAAAGAAAACTAAAAACACCATGAAGCAAAGACAAACGACTGTTTGTTGTTTTCGTACATTCCCGAGAGCAGTGGGCAAGTTCTCGTGGAATGCAAGCGATTGATTCAGGAGGCCCGCGTCCAAAAAAAGCGGCACAGGTCACGTGATAACTGGTATTCGAATAGTAAAATGCCATTCGAGTATTTCAATACTCGATTCGCTTTTCGAATATTTCCCCAGCCCTAGACGAGTCACTAAATATATATAAATAAATGAGTGAATTCGCAAATCAAATTTCCGACTGAAAATAAGGGACTGAATACTAAGACTGAAATCGGTATTATGTATAATATACTGAAAATATTACGAAAATGCCATAAATTTTGTATTAGGATCTCCGTGACATATGAAAAATGATTATAGACACCGTAAACCGGCACATTATGTTCATTTCAAAACTATACCATAGCATAAACACTAAATATAATCGGGAAATTTACCATGTCCGCAGATTGCCGTGTTATTTTGGAGTAGTGATGCTTACACTCTATTTTGTCGTGGGACAACACAGCCGCGAGTTACGATTTAACAAAATTAAATTTATACCAGAAGACATTTTGAATGCTGGTATTGGTCATAAATTAAACATTTTGCCACAATATCAAGAGCATTTTATTCACGCACTTTTTATTGAGTGCTTGATTTTCCTCGAGCAAAGAAGAGAACCCATCGTTTCCCAATACAAACAACTTTGATCGGTACAATTGAGTTTCTAATAAAGTAACCTGAAATTCACAAAATATATCTGTTCCTTTTGTTGAGACATGAATGGCCGCAAAGTGAGATATTTCTTCTGAATCTTAATTCTGAGGGTATCGGATGCGACAGTGAAACAAACAAAAAATTTTAACTTACGAAGAAGCTGAAGCAATGTGCTCTGTTATATATTCGAAAATATTTCTTTCCAATGATATGAAACGTCCGATTTTCTTGAGGAAGAGGAAGAGTAATTTCAGTAAGCACTATGACATCATAAAAGCAGCCGAAAGAACGTAACAGCTACGATGACATCAATTCAACTAATAGACTTCGTGATAGTTCAATAGTTTTTCATGAACTTTATGTATTTGTTTACAATAATCATTACTGTCTTGTCATTATTTCATTGCATGCATCACTGGACACTTGTATAAATAGTGTTCACTCAGCTGTAAAAGGACAGTTTGTCCTTGATGATATGTTGAGCATGTGCTCTGTCTGTTTGAGATAGTTACTTTAACAAGAGAGCTACGCACAAATATATGGACACGTTAGACCAGAGCGAATCAGTCCTTACCGGTACCTTTGACGCTACCGGTACCCTCAAAAAAGTTCTGAATTTCCAGTAGCAAGAATTTTGCAGAATCAAAACGTACAGCCAGTCATGACACTGACTAAAATCCGTGTTCCCATGGATAAAATATAATACAGCAAAATATTAGACGAAATATCAAATTTCATAGAATTCACGCAAAATTTTGAAATAAATAAAAGTAATAGCCTCCTAGCGAAAAAATTAATCTTTAACCACTGAAAATTTCAAAGCAATTGGTCCAGTATTCGAAGAGAAAAGCGACTTTTTAAAAACGTGTCAAAGAACAAGAACAACAACAACAACATAATATTGAATTCGTGTCCAATAATTGACTTATCACTTCAGTCTTATTATGGCAATCATTCAATAATTTCGAAATGAAAAAGATTGATTTTTCAAAGATTAATGATGGCCGGAAATTATTGCCTTGTAGTGCCATCTTAAGGCTATGCTGTTCGCGCATAGAAAGCGTTTACTTACGTTGTAGCAACTTTGCTTTTTTTCATACAGCTATCGCAAGCTATCCCTGAAAGTAGACCGAATGGTCAATTCGCGGTTATCCTGTTCATTCCTGACAAAAGCATGGATATATGTACATTTCATTTTGCTAATTGAAGACGTAATGACAACATGCAACGCAATCATGCATGTTTCTGGGATGATCTGGGGAACATGCATAAGTACAAAAATTTTGCAATGGACCTTTCCCCGACCTTTGACCCCAGAAAAATTCTTCTTATACCTAACCCTACCATTGCAAAAATTTCGGGGCTATTTTAAGAAAGCTTTTGCGAGTTGGCGCCTGTAAAATGGGGTATGTGTTTCAAACCATCACTATGATTCATCACATACAACAATCTGTTATTTAAAAGTATCGGTAAAGAAATTTAGCCTAGTCTATCACAACTATTTCTACACTAATATTTTAAAACTGCAATTATCAAAACTCATAGGAAGACAGAGTAATTAATTATTGAATTGAATGATTTATATTTAAGTTTCCGAAACACAACTGAAAACTAATGAATAGGGTTAAAAAACGCGAAAAGGAGGTAATGTTTACAACCACGCTTGAAAATCTGTCTCAGTGAGAAAAGTGTCTGAGCGGATGAGAAAAGAGCATTGTTAGGTCACTTTTTGCATTTCGCTGATTGGCCAATGTCACGATGTAAACAAGGTAGTCGATGCTCGGGGAAAGGTCCATACCATTGAGGTGTGGTCCATACTCAAGTGCCGGTTGTATATTGATTCTGTTGAGACCGCCGTCGGGTGCGGACCTAAAATATCAACGGTGGAATACTGGAGTAGGAAATATTTGGACGAAAACTTGGAAATTAGACGAATATAAACCCTACTGAGAAGATACATACAAACTTAAATCAAAACGATGTTGTCGGATACAGTACTGATACGATATCAATCAATCAATCAATTTTATTCGGTCACTCTGATCAATGACATTAAACAACATGATAGGCAACTCTGACGTCACTCCGTAAGACTACAAGCGAAAGATTGTATTTCATGATACGCTCTAATGCACATATTTCTCGTCGCCTTTCACGACCGTTTTCAGCTCGCTTTTGCTACTCGGCGTCTTCTTTACGTGTAGTACCTGCCTTTTTGCGACTGTAACGAAAGAAAATAATCTCTATATCTAAGTTCTACTTACTTGGAAAGCTGGAATGGCAGACAAGCTGTAAAGAGCAATTCTGGACATCATAGACGTTTTTTATCAGAGAAGATTACAAACGCGATAGCGGAAAGATTTGTGTGGAACATTTTACAGATAATAACAAATTTCAAAGTTAGTAATTTTAATGTTTGCGCTTAAACATTGAAATTTCATTTAAAGAGGGTGTCATACAGGACAGCAAAACTGTTTTTACTTCTCCTAACGGTGCTGTGATACAATTCCGTAACACAAAGTTCGCACCTATCGAACTTGCTTTTGTAGTTGAATTAATTAGACATATTACATATTCAGTTAATCGTAGGTAACATTGCTGGGTACATAATGCCTCGTAGATAGGTTTGTGTCTAAATTTAGGAATTCAGCTCATAGCCCACTAATTAATATTATCTTCTATGCAGGAGGTTGCAGGGCCGAATTCAACTTGCAGCCTTACCGATCACCTGACCATGCTCATTTAGTTTGGCTCCAGCAAGTCTTCTTGAAAAACTTGTGTGAATGGGAACTACCTATATGTTTTGCCTTCCTCCGATTTTAGAAGACAAATTTATTCTGAGGGATTTCGCATACAATTCTCATTGATTGTTGGCTGTTTATAATTCCTATTAATTGTGAATTCTGATTATAACGAAGAGTTAAAAATTTTTTTACGTAATTTACTGGCACCTTTTTTTTGTCAATACTCCAAGCTGAGGTAATAAACAAGACAAAACATTTATGTCATCTGGAAGCAAAATATGCACACTAATTAAATGTTTGACACATTGAGATAATACATCATGACAGAAAATACAAGGTAAAGATATATATGACCATCACATGGTAATTAAAATTAAAAAAAAAAAACTAATAGGAGCTGTGGAGTATGAAAAGTTCAAGACAAAGAAAAGAACAAAAGTTCATAGCTCATGAACTCTCAATTTTGCTTCCATTGCTTTGTGAAGGCCAATATATTTCGAGTGGCTGAATTGGTTTACCTTTATGATAGCAACGATTTTGTATTCAATATAGCGAGATTTTTTTCAATATAATTGAAGTGATATTATTTCCCAAAGCAATGCTTCTATCAGGGGTGGGCAACCTGGCACGCGAGCCCATTTATTCAGCACGCGAGCGAGGCTTCGGAAACGAGATCATTCCCCTTCAGATAAAAAGTTTCAAGACTCTGAATTATCTGATGGAACTCGGTGTTCGTTTATTCATCATCGTTTGTTAACAATCCCTTATTTAGTTAAACTCTTTCTGTCCTCTCATGACATATGGCTACTTGATTTATGAAGTTATACAGCTCCTATTGGTTAGAGTTACTTGCTAACTTACTATTATAAATTGATTTCGAAAGTGATAAGCGATTATGGGGGTTTATACAAAAGTGGAGTGCAGAAAACGAACTATTGCGTGATTGGGATGCTATTCCCGAAAATTTTGCGTGTCTTAAAAACTTTGCAACTGCATTACTCTTCATGTTTTCATCCACATATGCTTGTGAATTTCTCTTCTCGGTTATGAACTTTATTAAGTTTCATAACAGGAGTAGTCTGAAAGATAACACCAGTAGTTCGTGTATTTCGCTGAAAGTGACAAAATATAAACCCAATGTAAAATCGCTATCAGCGGTAATGTAGCAGCAGAAGTCCCACTGCTCATCTGCACATCCACTCATTTTCGTCTCGTCAAGTATGTGCATTGGAGCGTGCTATCGGATACGATCTTCAGCCAAAAATGGCGGAGTTGCGCATCATGTTGTTTAATGTCATTGCTCTGATACAAACAAAACACAAAACAACAACAAAGGGACAAACAAAATACAGAGGACCTGGAGGATGGGCATAACTTAATAAAAAAAGTTAAATACGTACAAGTACGTGCCCGTCCCCCAAAAACAGGCAAAACACAATAAAACAAAAACACGATGTGACATCGGGCAATATCTTATAAATTCAAATTAAAATGTGAGGCGTGTATGTGCTTTTCCTATAGTTCGCATCAGATCATGCTGGGCCAGCATTGCTGGCCTGCGTGGGGTTTATCATGGAAAACTGGTCAAAGCTGTGAAAAACATGAACAGTCAAATGTAACGAATATTTGAAGGTAGATTGCATAAAAAAGACTTACACTAAGCACATGAATTTTGATTAAAACTGAAGTTGTAACGTCAGGGCAATGCTCTTGTCATATTTTACTTCGTTTGTTGTTGTTGGACACGTAGTGGACATTACGATCGTTTCAATATTATGTTGTTGTTCTTGTTCTTTGACACGTTTTTAAAAAGTCGCTTTTCTCTTCGAATACTGGACCAATCGCTTTGAAATTTTCAGTTGTTAAAGATAAAAATTTTCTCCAGAAGGCTATTATTATTTTTTTCGCTATGACGTCATCAAAATTATGTGACTCTACGTGTCCATATATTTGAGCATAGCACACTTGTTTTCTTTTATGGTGCTTTTATCCTTGTTGTTTATCGTCCGGTAGACTCTTAGTTGAGTGCGTTTGTAATCAAACTAATTACCACATATTGTGCACTGCTTGTTTGTTTATGTTCTACAATTCTCGTTATTTATATGTAGAGATATAGTAGAAATTACACTCTATGTTAAAACTCCACATCCACATCCAAGTATTTACGCCCGAATTATCTTTCGTTTTTCTTTTTTTTCAATTTACTTCAATGTGTTGTTTGCCACATCCCCACCCAAGTATTTACGCCCGAATTATCTTCCGTGTTCCTTTTTTTCAATTTACTTCAATGCGTTGTTTGCTGTTTGGGGTAAGTGGGCACGTGCACCATCACGTCCTAAATCTTTTTTAGATTTTGCCCACTTTACTGATTTTCCGTACATTTGTTTGTTTTGCCATGTATTGTTTTGTTTTATTGGAAAATCAAAATAAACACTTACACTTACTTACTCATGGAGAATTTCAGGGGGTCAAGGGTCAGGAAAACATCGCATGTGTTTTCAGGCTTCCCGAATAATTTGAGTACCATAGTCAGGATTACACGTTTACACAAATATTTATAGATTTATCCACCGATATTTATTAGTTTTCAGACGTTTTGGACCTCGTAGCGGTAGTTTTCCAGATGGAATAAGCGGTTTGAGACCTTGAGTTATGACTTTCTTGAGAGTTCTGGAGTTGTTTAAAAATAATGAAATTTATAGTCATAGCCTATAACGTTATATCTGAATTTTTAGTTTAAACTGGTACTTTCTGACTTCAGCAATAACTAAATAAAAAGCCGAAAAAATTATAAACTGTTCTAGTAGAAGGTTGATATCAAATCTAGGCTACAAATATGCCGCAACCGTCTGATCTACTTGAGGAGCTTTCAGCATTCAACAGTTTCCTTGGTGGAAAAAAGTTAAAGTTAAAACTGGATAAAAGTAATATACCAACGTGTGATGAATGTAAACTTTCTGGTTATGCAACTCTTGCTTGGTATCTCACTGATCTATGGAAGAAAAATGATTTGACAGGCACAAATCCTGAAGTTCATGCAATTGTATGGCAGTGGCTCGAATTGAGAACAGAAGCTTCAAAGTCTCTCCTTTTTAATGACTTCATAACGAAAATTGAAAACCATTTATGCCAGAATACATATATTGCAGGAAACATGCTTTCTGTAGCAGATGTTCTATTGCTATATTCAGTACATGCATTTGTGTCTCGACTCTCATACCAAGAAATTAATAAAACATATAGAAATTTGGCTAGATGGTTTTCCCATGTTCAAACTTTCCTTCCCAAAACGAATAAATACCCCAAACTAGGTATTTCAAGAAATTTAATATATTGATATTAAATGAGAATTATTAAAATTTAATGAAATTGACCTCAATAGTAAAGAGTTAAAGTATATAAAAGTTGTTGGCAATGGATTTGTGATTTGAATTTCTCTCTATATGTGATCATGGTTTCTGGGATTGTTGAAAACCAGAACCTTGTATTTCAAACTATGGTTTTATTAGTTTGAACAATATCATCTTTGCAATATTACAAGTTATTTATAAATATGAGTGGATGTTCACTGTTCAATATCCCTATATTGTATTTGATTTCTCTGTGATTGTTAGTTAATTTTATACATTGCAATATGAAATTCATGGGTGTTCAGTTAATAATGGAATAGTTTGGTATTCTGGTCTTCCGGGTATATTTTATTGTTGGGCATTCGTCTGGAGTTGATATATTTTATAATCTGAAATCAATTTTCACACAAAGAAGTTCCATCAATTGTGCTTTTTAAGTACCATAAATTGAAGCTAAAGTATGAAATCGCTCTAGTTTGCATGGTTCATTGTTATATTGCAGAGAAAAACAACCTTGTTTCTGTGATTTTTGTCCAAAGATTGATAACATGAATAATAAATGCAAATATTGTTCTTACCTGTTAAGCATTTGTGACTAGAAAACAAATATAGGCTGTATCAGATTTAAAATGGTACTGGCATCCAAAGCAGACAGAAGACGAAAGCGGCGCCTTTCTGAAAACGAGCCGCAGTATGAGAAGGTGGCAAGGATATCAACATCTTATGTAAAAGAAGATTCGTCTAAAAAGATAAAGCATTTATTGCCAATCAAGGATATTTCTGGGGCTGTGATTAAGCAGTATGAAGAGTACTATGTAGATGATGTGGTGGAGAATGGTGTAATTGAAGGTGATCATCAAGATGATGAAGTCATGGATAAACCTGAAGAGAAACCCAAATTAAATGTTCAACAAATAAAGATGCAGATTGCTAAAATGTGTTCAAATATAGTCAATGAACCCCAGGTATTATATTTATATATACCGTATATATGTATATACACACTGTAATTTTCTTGATTACTTGATCTAAACTGTTTAGGATTATGAACGATTTAGTCATAAACTACCATAATTCAATATGTCGACAAATACTCTGTCTGTTTCCCTTCAAATTGGAAAAACGATTTTTAGTTAATATTGTTTTCAGATTCACTTCAGCATTCTGAAGAAACTTCAAAACATGATGTGGACAGAAAAACCAATGGAGACCTGTTTTATTATTCGTAAATTAGCTATGGCATCAATGGCCTGTGTCTTCACTGACATTATACCAGGTATGGTATATGATTGAAACAACTTTAAAATCTGTCACATAGTATATACGCTAGTTGTATCTAAAGGTGTTGATATTTTAAAAATATTATTTTAGGAAATTCTCTAAATGATGATAATCTTTTGAAACGTTTTTTTGTGTGAAATTTTGTAGGTTATCGAATCAGGGAAAGAACCGAAGATGAAAAGTCTGTGAAATTAAGCAAAGAAGTTAGAACATTGGTTGACTTTGAAGAAGGATTACTGAGACACTATAGAAGTTTTTTAGAGAGCTTGGAAAAAGTTTTAAAAAAAGAAAAGAATGGTTAGAAATTTATTACTAGTCATAGTATGCCATGTATTTTACATTGGTATTACCGTATTTTACGGGCGATAAGAGGCACTTTCAATTCTATTTTATCTCCAAAATCGATTGTGCGCCATATAAGCCGGTGCGAGTATGTATGGATCAGGTAGTGCTTTTTTGTACCGCCATTGCTTTAAAAACTGCATCTTGTAGTCTGGTGCGTCCTTTGTGAATGAAAACCCAAAAAAGGTAATGATAATGGCCTTTATAATATGGTTCATAAAACACGGTAATCCATTTCTTCTTGCTCCTTGGTTATCCAATTAAATATTAACATTGCCTTATCCGCAGAAAAGGTGGAAATACTTTCCAGCTTTAGCAGATGTACATATGGCTCCAACTTGTGATATTCATATATGCTTATGTTATTATTAAACACTTATGCAATGTTATTCAGAGAAAAATCCTATTCTTTCTGGAGAAGAGAAAAAAGAATTGACTTTCTTGGCAGTCAAATCTCTTTGTGAATTGTATGAAAAGACAACACATTTCAACTTTCATAACAATATCGTTATGGTTCTTGTGCCTCTAACAAATTCTAGCAATAAACAAATATCAGAAATGTGTTGTAATTCTGTGAGAAGTATTTTCCGAAGTGATAAATCAGGAGAGGCATCTTTGGCAACAATCAAAGTAAGTATTGTATTATAAATAGGACTGGGAATGGTTCATATAGGTATTGTTGACTGTGGTTAATGTTAGATAATTTGATTAGGTTCATTTCAAATGTATAGTTACAGTTTCAATAGTATATGATTTTACAGGAATGCATGCTGGTAAACATAGGCTATAGAACTAAAGTGAAATTGTGCATTCCCCTATCTTTAAAGCTTAGTCGTAATTGTGCTTGGCTTGTCGTCAATATTCTAGTCCAGTTTGTAATGCATGAACATAAAAAGCCTATATGAATTTTTTTTGTATTCATTTATTCAACTACTGTAATTTATATTTTAACTGAAAATTATGGCTGAGATAGGATAAAGACATATACATTGTGACCCATGCCATACATAAAATAGCTCAAATACATATTTCTTTTGATGTGGTATTTGATGGTGTTGCTAATTGCTATGTAGAAGATTCTTCTATGCTAGCAATCTACATGTTCAAAACGGTCATAGGCTCATAGCCCTTTCTGTTATTAACAAAATCTTTTCTATTTTTCTGGTTGACATATGTTTATTGACACTCAGATTTATATTATCTAACAACAATTCCCACATCTTATAATGTTTGTAAGACCGCAATCCACAAATCAACCTGGCATGTCAATCCCTCGGCCATCATTGGCTTCATTTTTCAGGCCTGCAATTATTGACAAAACCTAATATTTAATATGTGTGTCCATATTGTGCAACTTGACAGGTATTATGCAAACTAATAAAAGATGAAAGTGGATCAAAGAGAGGGATTCGTCCTGAGGTTCTTGACACGTTATTGTCGTTACATATAAACCATGTTGATTTTGAAGCGATGTCTCGTCAACCTAACAAATTGAGTGCAAAGGATAAGAAAAAGGCTGCTGCGGAAAAGAAAAGGTTGTCAAGAGGTCAACGAAAGCATTTGAAGCGCCAAGAAAAATTGCAGAATGAACTCAAGGAAACAGAAGCCACAGAAAGGAGGGAAACAAAAATAAAATATCACACTGAAATTATTCAGCAAGTTTTTCTGGTGTATTTTAGGATTTTGAAACAAAAGAAAGGTAAGGAAGAAATTCTGTATGATTTTATATTCTTTCTGTGTAAATTTTGTAATAAAAGAAATGTGAGGAAAAAATTCTGTATGATTTTATATTCTTTCTGTGTAAATTTTGAAACAAAAGGAATGTAAGGAAGAAATTCTGTATGATTTTATACTCTTTCTGTGTAAATTTTAAACCAAAAGAAATGTAAGGAAGAAATTTTGTTTGATTTTATGATCTTTCTGTGCAGATTAAGTTTGTACTAAATTTTAACCAAATAAACTGATTCATTTGGGTTATATCATTCTTGGTGACTTGAAATATACTTGTATGTACAAAATGACTCAATATCTACTTGCTTGGAAACTCTAAAATGATTCAACTCGCTGCAACCCTGCGTGGGTTCACAGGTTCGAAACCCATGCGGAGATGATTATATGCGGGAGGATTGCTGGACTCCTCGCCGCCGTAGGGTGGTTCACGTAACCGCTGGTCAGTTACGGCTTCCTCCACCATCAAGTCCAGGCTTTCAAAAAACAAATAACTAACTAATCCTAAACATGGGATGGTAACCGGACGAGAGGCCGTGGTTCGCCATGCTTCCCCGGGATAAATATGTAGATCCTATCCAATATTATAGATTTCTACACTGGAATAAATGGTTCATGTTTACTTATTTAAGTATATAATGATATTTTTCAGGTCAAAGGCCAGAAAGGCTATTGAATTCTGTTTTGGAAGGTCTTGCACAATTCGCACATCTGATCAACATAGATTTTTTCAGTGATTTGATTCAAGTTCTACAGAATCTCATATCTTCTGGTGATCTTAATTATAGGCAAAACTTGTGTTGTATATCAACTGCATTTAAGGTAAATGGAATGGAAGTTATTAGACAACAATCATACATCCACAACATTGACTATTTGATTTGAAGATTGAATGCTTATGATGTAATCCCACTTTCATAAGTATGAGTTTTATCCAGGATTTAGTTACACACAGTGTTTGAATACCTTGTGTATAATGGAAGGATTGATGAAGAATCTTTTTTTCTAAAATGTGAACATGAAATTTGTTCGAATGAACTTATTAGGCACTGATAAAGCAGATTAGATTACCTAAGAATTGGCAATCCACTGCTTTTCATCTATCAGTCCAAAATAAAGATTCAGATGCTAAAGGAAGATAAAATAAATTTTTGAGTGAACCATCTTACCATTACAACACTCCTCTAATATTCGATTCTCCCCCATTTGTGGGCCAGTTAATTAGTGTTGAACCAGCAGCTAACTTTCAACCGAGTTAGTCTGTTGTCAAGCATCAAGTACAATTTTGCTTTCTTATCATAATCAAATTTTTTTCTACAGGTCTTATCTGGTCAAGGAGAGGCACTCAATATTGATCCGACTGAATTTTATAAGCATTTATATGAGGCGTTGTTTCAGCTAATTTATTCAACTACTGGATATAAACGAAACGTCAAAAGAGGGAGAGATGAAAATCGACTTAGTGATCTGAATTTAACAATGAATTGTTTGAATATAATGCTCAACAAAAGAAGACGGCAGGTACGCTTTCCTTTCCTGTCAATTTTCAAAAATATTGCAGCAGAATCAACTTTGATGGGGTTGGTGCTTTTGATAGACATGCCGGCTTGATATACTTCAACAAAGAAAGAATGTTGTTTGCCATAGTTTCCTTTAATGTAATGTTGTTTCAATGTCTTTATGTTTGGTGATTTTGTATCAATGGTCGATTTTACTGAAATAGTTGTAGTTCCGGATGTATTTGTGATTTAAAATATTTACCTTGTGAAAATTGGCAGTAAAAGTTGACTTGAAACAAGGTTGGAAGGCACTGATTGGTATGGAATGTCAGTCTCTCAACTGAATTATAACTTGTTTTCAGGTAACACTTGGTCGACTGCAAGCATTCATCAAACGGCTAGCTGCTTTATCACTTAATCTACACCCAGCAAGCTCAGCTAAAGCTGTTTTAGTTATCACATCTAAATTGATTCAAAGCAACACTAAAACAAATGCTCTATTCGATATTGAGTCACAAGCCAAAGGTAAGTATTATCTTAAATTAAATTTATCCAACTTTTCACCAATACGTAAACTTAATGCCCTGTGAAATGCGTGTATGCCCGACTCTCAAGACAACTCTATTTGTTTGGCAATAGCATATAAACTGATTGTACTCTGATACAGGTGTGTATTTGGCGGAACTTGAAGATCCTGAACATTGTGGAGCAACATCTGCTTGTTTGTGGGAACTTCATGCACTCAGAAGACATTATTGTCCTGATTTGAGAAAGCAATCCAGTAAAATATTACGGGACTCTGCTAAGGAACAACAACATAGACATAGATGATTTGTCGGATAGTTTTAAAATATAACTATTACATTATTTCTGTTGTGTGACTTTTTCGTTCTTTGGTTATGGATACCACCGTAGCTAACTGTATTGATAATTGGACAGCTTGCTATATCTAGCGAGTAGGTCGGTCATATCTTTGTGAATGCCGATTACGGTACCTATTTATCTCTTTGTGAGGAAAGATCAAGTTGGCTTGCTTTCGTGGCGAACCCCAGCTCGTGAGCCAGTGGAGTTTAGTCTGGGTCGGCTGATTCGTAGTTAGAACTTGTGATAAGTCCAGTAAATTAACCCACTAAGTCTATCAGCGTTTTTGGTCCTGGAACACTTACGCTTTTTATCTTGCCCCGTGGAACACTGAGAAATTAGAAGATAAAATTAATAATAAAAAATTGGCAACCAATTTAGTCGCAATTTCGATCCCTGTTTCCGCGGAAAATCTGAAGAAGCTCTCGGTACAGCAGTGTTCCGCGAAATGCGATTCGAGAAACGCTGATTTATAATAATCGTAGCGGTGCCATTGCAGGCGTGACTATTGCAATTCGCCCACCGCCTCACACCAGTTTGATGTCTCCGATCAAATAAGTATACGCTTTCGTTATGAAGTTGGTCAAACAAACATCGGTGCGTATGAATGACTACTCTTTTTCGAATTTCGCTTGCAATGCGCGATTGTCTGAGTTCATTAACACATGTAGATTAATACATAAGTTACACGTCAACAGATTGATTACTTGTCTAATTTCGAATTAACAGAATGATTTCTATACATTCCGCAAACACTCAGGTGAGTTGTAAATTTTCTTGTGAATCCGTAATATCTACTGGGCATTGTCAGTTCGGTAGGCGGTCGGCTTCCATAATCAGAAGCCGTGGTTCGATAAAGTGCATCAATCTTCACTCCATATCCCTGAAACTTCCGAGCGTTACTGAATCTAGCAGGTAAAATGCCCTGCTCTTTCGGAGTTTTCTCTACCTTCTTTGGTTTGTCTATAACCCGTTCTTCCTCGCTATCGGATGATTCAGCAATTGAATCAGATTCGTCTTTCGCCGAGACAGGCCGGTCCTCAAGAGACTTCTCAGAATAACAAGTGGAATCTTTCTCAATTAATGAAGGCAGATCTGTTTTCTCAAGTGTCTCTTTCAGTGGAACATCAGCAACTGAACTAACAGTTGTACCGTAACTATCATCGCTAAATCGAACACTTGGCTTTGGTCTTTCTGGTAACTCCATATTCATGACTACAGTCCGCCTCGATATTTAGAAGTGACTTTTTCAGGTAAACAATTTAGGTAATCTAACATTCAGATTTAATTGTGACGTCACTTTGAGAAATTGTTAAATTATTGTTGTCATTCAGTAATTCTCATACGTTTATGACGTAATTTCGAAAATGAATACTTTCCTACTTTTAATCTTCTGCAATTGAGCATTAGCAAAAATAATTGTAAGTGTTCATTATTAACTTCTGCTGCTATTGCCTTACACTGCATAAACGCCTCTGACCGTTTTATCTGAAGTTTTAATAATTTAATACAAAAAAATCTCAGATTTTATTGCACACAGTTATATTACACCATCAAATATGAAAGCACAGCACACAGAAGAATATTGGAATACATAGTTCTCCTTCATATTTCAATCACACGTCTGGCAAATGAGCCATTCATTTAACTTTGATCTTGGAAGGGTATCACATATAAACCTTTGACAATTGTTATAAAATTCGTTAGTAGACCTCAAAATTTTGTATATGAATTTTTGAACATGACCATTTTTGCGCTACAACCCAATATATATCCCACGTATGTTATATTTCATGCTACACTATGGTGCCCGAATGCACAACAATTGCGTCATATGATAGCACGCAAATCACAGTTAATCATTCTTAATATCTTTTATGTAGAAGGTAAACCATGTGTATATTTATTCGTCCCTTTACACAAACTACATTGGCATACCAATTTTACTTCGAGCTACCTTGTAGAACAATTGATTAGCTCATGCATGGGGCTAGGATAGGAACTTCATATTGAAGACAATTTCGATAAATTGAAGGCTATCCATATATGCATTCCTGTTCCTTAATTTTACGTAGTTAGCACATTCTAGACTAGAGAGTTATGAAACATTCCATAATTTATTTTGATGAAGGCATGGCATTTTGGGCCAAAAAAGCGGTTATCAAAGACAGTCTTGAAAGACACGCGTTCTTGGTCTTTGAAGAATGTCACGAAGAAGCAAAAAATGCACAATAGAAGAAGTGTTACGAAAGCAAGGATATTATAATGCGGTGTCTTCTCCTTCGCCAACTGATTTCAACAGTCTATTTTTCCAGCCCGCCAGGTCCAGATCCGGGCCCGTTCCGGCAAGGAAAGGTGGTAGCCCCGTAGGATCGACTTTTTTGTGCAAATTAGTAAAATTGCTGCCATGGAGTTCGAGCTGTAAAAATAAGAAAATGAAATATTTTTAAAATAACCACATTTTGCATAAAACTAGCCAGCTAGCTATTTTCTGTTCATTTTTTTTAAATAATTTAATTTGGCAAAAAATAGCTACATAGTTCAAAAAATAATAATTTCCTTGCCTTTTCCTATTATATTGCATATATATATATATATATATATATGCAATCTGAAGCATTCAAAACTTTTTGTCTAAACCCTTAACCCTAAACTGATAGAAAATGTTATTCCTTACCCTTTTCTGCATTTTTTCTCGGGTAAATGGTTTCATAATGTTGTAAATTATTGTGAATATCTTATATTCATTTACAACATTCATGCTTTTCAATCTTGCAGGCATCGCGTCCTGTAAAAAACATTGTGCAACCACTGTTATAACATATTATGAATAAAATGTTTATTAGCATAATTGTTGCCTTTGCAACAATTTCCAGACTTGGTATGACAGCGATGCGGTTTATGAGTTCCAAACGATTATGACTCAATATATTTCACACTTACCGCCATAACTCCGCCAAATTTCTTTCCAAATGATGGAGTGAATTGCTTTAGTAAGTTGAGATTGAAGTTCGAGTAGTCGACTATGACGGTCATTCCGTAAACCTGTGATTGGAAATATTTAGCAAATCATAAAAGCAGTTTCATGATTTCTGACTATTAGGGCCATGTTATAATAGAAGCTATCCCACTGACTAAGTATATATATTTTTTCGTCAGTGTTAATTTGCGAGTGATCAAAGTATAAGTCGAGGTGAATCGGGATGAGAAGTTTTGTGGCTTCACATATCTATGTATAGTTTGTAAAAAGGATGGCTTTCTTAATGACATGCTCTATTCCAATACATGGACGGTATATCCTTTCAGTTCATAGCCTCAAATACTATCAAGTACTCACGGTAATAGTCTCATCTTTCAGTAGATTCTCGGTAACCAAAATGATCATAGCCAGGAAGTCAGACATCAATGCTGTATCAGGCATTCCTTTACCTGGAAAAACAATCCAATAAATATTCGCCGCTATTCTTTATTCTTTTTCCTATTTTTATTTCCCCTATAGTTTCAAAAAGATGCATTGCGGAATGAAAATCTATTTCCCCAAATAGGTTTTGAATCAGCAATTACAAAATAATCTAGACAAAATTTTATCTGTGTTTAATTTGAATATACACTCCTTTTCAATGGCAGAAAAAAAATGTGGACGAACAAAATTACATTCGAGCATAATATTTTGAAAAAATTTAATCATATCTGTGAAGAATAGCGTTCGCATTCGACTACAATTGAACGTACCGGGTTGACCAATCACCACTGCAGAGCCATCGGATGCTTTTTGCTTGATTGGGACAACAGCTCCATTCATCATATATTCCGTGAGAGCTTCAGGATTGTCCACCTTGTCCAACAAAAATAATTTTACTAATAGTTTCTCGCGGGTAGTGATACGGACATAAATATAATACTCCCGCCTGCAAGGGTACATATGGAGGGGAATGTAGAAATATACCAATGGGATAAACAGCATTTGCCCATACTTAAACACACCTTACAGTAATAGTAAGATTGATGTAATTTAGTTAACAAATCATTAAATGTTACCTTGTCAAAAACTTCCCTGAAATCCCTTCTCTGTTTGTGATAGTTTACAAGCATATTGTAGGCCTTATCGTGCTTAAATTTCTTTGCTCGTAAAAACCTAAAAAAACTCAATTTATTCCTTGGTTTTTCGTCTACCAAAATATGAATCAGTGGATTCGAACATGCCAAAATGCCTAATTGTGTGATACTTTATAAGCTTATATCAAAACTTCAAAATCTAACCTCAAAAAAAACATGTCATCTGTTCGGATGAGTTCAAGATCATCTTGTTCCTCCTCGAATCTATTACGTAGTTTATCGATTTCAGCAAGTCTTGCATCATTATCTTGAGGTTCGTTCAATTCTGCTACAGCTTTCTTCAGAACATCTGGTGGTAGGTCACATTCATATCTAACACCCATATTGAATGGCTACTTTTCTATTTTTATATGAAATCAAAATAATCAATGTAGACAAATTCTAAAATATCAACAGCATTTATTCGTTAGATGTAAATATAGCTTTACGTGACTATATCATAAACCTGGTAATACCACTGACGCTTGATCAAATACCACTGACATAAAAGTACAATAACATTACAACAGTACGAGGTCGTAGTTTAGCCAAAACAATCAACGGAGAAATTATAGAAATCATTAGGCAAGCTGACTTTAACAAGATTTTCATCTTATTAGTCGATATATAAGCAACAGTTTATTTGATTTCGAATGTCGTTGCATAACGGCGTATTATGTCATGTATGAGTATGACTCGTCGTTTTGTACTGTCTGGAACAAATAACGCGGAATTGCTCAAATATTGTGTGAACATTTTTAGCAGTGTACTGTTGTGTAACTCGATAAAGCAAACATAATATCCTTCAACCTTTGTTACATAAAGTCGAGTTACGTAACGGGGAAACCGCGGTTAATGGTTGACTACGAGGAGTTACCGAACTCTGAATATTCAATATGGGTAATGGTTTTGATTATATAATCAGCAAGATCGAAGCACGAAAATATTTTCTAAAAATATTCCAACTGCTAATTGTTTTAACCGGGCAAGATAATATTTCATCACGCCAAAAGGAACCATCCTGATAATATATTCGAAAAAAGTTTGCATTTACGTTATTGCTACACATCATGTTTTGGGTTGTTTTAAAATAAAATCTGTTCACAGCATATCTAGTTCCGCCATCGATTTAACACCAACGGGTACAATACTTTATGCCTATTAGTTGGTTGTCAGGTTTTAAATTGTTAGACCATGTTTTTGATATATACAAGTTTTTACACAAAACATTGATTGCACTTTATTGGTTATTGGCACTATTTTTACACAATTTTGTGTATTTGCTTCAAAATTTAAAATAATAATTTTCATCAATCTTAATTAATGAATATATCTGGCAAGTAAGAAACAACTTACCTAGTGCGTCTTTGCAGCTGTCGGCCGGATTAAACTCAGTGTTTATATTGATAGCCCAATATTCCCTTGCGGATGGGACCATTATCAGAGATCATATACCATGCATCGCCCTCATTCTAACTTTGAAGATGACTAGATGGGCGCACTGTGCTAGCACTCATAATATTATAACACGTGGTGCATTTTAACGAGCTATCCAACTAGATTGAAATCAGTCTGGAATATTTGTGTAGCTCCGCTTAATATAAAACCCAGTATCTATAATGATAACCTAATAAATACCTTTTTATAGAGCAGACCATTCCCCGAGATTATACCACACATCGGACCCTATTCCAAGCTTCAAAACTGGCTAGGGCTAGGCGATTGGTGCGCCGTGCTAATAGCACAATATTATGACGACTATCTAACTATATTGAAGCCGAAATAATTAATTCAAGCCCAGGCACCACGGCATGGTACGATGATTGCTATTGGAGTCGTGATTACTCTTTGTCCAAACCTTAATGTTCGTTGAAGACAAGGATATATTTAGTAATTAGTAGGCACGACTTGCCTTGGGCTGTCAGGCTGAAATATTTGTATTTGTGACATATTGATCCAAAATCCGTGGTTGGCCAAGTTTCATTTCTCTTGTCCAAATTTGCTTTGAATGCTGATGCCATTATATCGTATCTGACAATAATCAACAATCAATAATTAACAAAACAGTATATATATATATCCGCAATATCCTATTTCCAGGCTTGTTCTTGCTCGGACATATTTTTCTGTCCCATTCTCATCCCACCCCATAACAATTATGCCCATCCCATCCAATGAGATTCCCATTGGAATAAAATTCAATGCCAATTGTTAAATTTAGAGTTAGCGTCTACTAAATAGGACTACATGTACGAAGAGACATGCAAAACAACAAAATTTACGGACTTTGTTAGGTTTATATTCATAACTATTATATATACATGTGTCCATCAGACTCTATACGAGTTATATTGGTAATGCCGAATATATTTTGCTCTATATAACTAATAACAAGAGAGCTATGCTCAAATATATGGACACGAAATCCACAATGAAATGTTTTACCATCATTTCCCGAAAATCATACGATTTTCATGTCCCACGTGTCCAATGGGAAATCCAATGGGACGTTTCCCATGGACAAGCCTGCCTATTTCAACACATATATATATCTATATATAAATATACCGTATTTCCCGGCGAATAAGTCGCTCTTCTAGACCCAAATTTTTGGCCTGAGTTTGGGGGAGTTGTCTTATTAGGCGAGTAAGATAATTTTTGTTTTTTTGGATTATTATTTATTTTTTCGCATTATTATTTAATTAATTTGGACCATAAAATACCCTCGGCGATAGCATCCCACACGTCCTCATCAGGTTAGTTTTAAATAAATCGGCATTCTCGCGCTGTGAATCTGGAATTTCAATGCTGTGATTATCATATATACACTTTACATGTATATTTATATATATTTATTTATCAAAACTAAATATAATCATATAAATTATCTCACATTATTATGTCCGCAGATTGTGGTGTTATTTTGGATCGGTAATGTTCTTATATGGTGGACGCAATCGCGAGTTACGTTAAACACAATTAGATTAAAATTGAAAGACAGTTTGAATTGCCGTAGTTGTTATGGATTGAATATTACGCTCAAGAAAAGTCATTATAGGCTATTTTAACCAATGCGCAAACGCGGCGACCGCTCAAAAGCCTTTGCATGGTAATTTGAGATTACGATGTTGATGCGATTTTACTACTGTCTCATTGGCCAGTTATATGCCAAAACCCATTTTTTCATGCTTGAAAACGGGCCTCCTCTTATTTACCGAGTAGACTTTATTCGCCGGGAAATACGGTATATATGCCACTTCGCCATATAAACAGCTGTCAGTCATATAAACGTCATATCATATATATGACAGCATTTTGGAAAAAAAGATATTCATCTTATTTTATGAAGACAATATTGAATGTATACTTTTACCAAAACTTGCAAATGGTTGAAATAAATTAATTATAAACCTAACGTGTCCAATATGTATCATCGACAAAAACTCCGTTATTCTTTCTGACTTTATATATATAGATAATTTATTGTACACAAAATGGAGCTATAGATCGTTTAATATTATGATGCTGTTAGAATTTATTGTAATGATCTTTTTCGAGTTATTATGAAAAAAATCGTTTCCCTTTTTAACTACTGGTAACTGGACCAATTGCTTTGAAATTTTCAATGATTGAAGATTGTTGTTACTAGAAGGCTATTACTTTTATTTATTCCGAAATGTTCTCTGAATCCTATGAGATCGGATATTTCATCCAAAATTTCGCTATAATATTTTTATCCATGGAAACACGGTTTTTAATCCGCCAACCGTGATCCGTCTTGCGTTTTGATTTTGAAAACCTTGGGATGCGACGCTAAAGTTGAATGTTTTGCGATATCGGTGGCGCATAACTGTTCGATTTCAGGTTGCTCGTTTGCGCGTCTTGGATGGCGGTTCGTATAGTTTGAAGGGCTCTATTACGTCACTGTGACGTTGTAATGACGTAATTTTCGGATGGTGTAGTCAGGTGGGGGTTAGGATTGATACATAAAAAAATTGACATGCTACGCCCACTAGAAGTATGTTAGGTAAGAAACTACATGAGACCCGTCCTCTGTATAACGTACGAAATAACACACGTGAGCTCCATCGTGCGTGGTTGTGCAAAATTTCATCCAGAGTATTTTTCTATTTTTAATGCACAAAATGCAATATTACAGATTTGTTATAAAGCAGGTCATGAATAAAAACGAAGTAGCCTACAAATTTCGGCAGCGTATCACAAAATCTACATATCGGTCAAAATGGTTCCCGTACATTTGAACCCACGACAATCGCACCTGTATACTATTGCACCAATGGAGTTTCTTTGTTTTGCGGATATTTGAACCCATACAAACCCTAACCCATGGGTTTAGCACCCGCATATAGATTGAGCCCGCGGATATACACATGGGTTCAAATGTACGAGGGATCAAATGTACGGTCACCGGTCAAAATATATATTTAGGGCTAGGCAATCTCCGTAATGTACCGCAGTGTGTGTTGTGTCCGGCAACCCGAAGTGCACAACAACAACTCTTCCTACTCCATTCATCATCTAAATTTCTAATAAATCGGTTGTATTTCAAGTTTTAAATTTATACTAAACGAAACTATTCAGATTACTACCGGCTGCTGCGATCTTTCACCTTCAGAACCACGAATGCATAAATTACTTCACTTTAGCTTCGATATCTATTTGTAAAACCGGTGGGATATGATCTACAACAAACAGCGAAAGAAATATCCATGAAGCTGATATGGCTTGAATTTTAATGAATAATTTGCACTTTATAATTCAATCTGTAATCACGCGATGAAATGTTGAATGGTGTAACTTTTAATGTATCGTAAAGGGGTTCATAAAACTATAAATATATATATTAGTTTGAAGTAGTCTCCTCATTTCCCGTTTTAGTTTATATTTTGAAAAACTTGGTGAAACGCGTGGTGGCATTGTAGAGTCGGATATTGGAGATGCGTAAACGTTGAAGCGTGGTGGAAACAATTTGGCTTGGCGGTGACCCATTCTGGAAGTGATATGATTGAACTTACACTTATGGTCAAGCTCGGACACTGACAGATTCGCTGGACTCCCTCGTAGTCGAGTATTTACATAACTGCTCGTCAGCTTCAGCTCACTATACACAACCTACCTGAAGCTACGCCCTGACATGAATTGGCATCGGTCTTCATTCCCTGGATACACATAAAGCCATATCCTATTCTAGTTGCCCAAAAAACAGATAATTTATCTTCGATACATGTCTCATATTGGATACCTATAACATATTTCAATTCTCTCCTTATGAATGCAGGCAGCAAGTACGTCAAGACGACTTATACATTAATAATAATTGCAACTTTTTATTGGATCACAAATTCTTATAAAAAAAATTCAGTAGGAATGGAAATTTTCATGGAATAA